AAAATCAGGATTCTGCCCGGCTGCCTTTCAAATGGCATCACCTGTAGTCAGGGTCAACTACGTATCTCAGTATCACCTGTGTGGCTAGTGGCTCCACCTGGGCCCCGGGAGCCGGTACGTCCATCAGTCTCAGTCACTAGAAGTATTACTGGTATTAATCATCACCTTCAGAAAAGTCTAGTTTCCAATAGCACGTCCTGTTTTCTTGAGAGAAAAATACCAAAATCTAAGCCCATTCATTTAAAAAAGATACGTAAACTCTACCTTTCTTTATTATTAAAAGAATTCATCCATCTACCATTTCAGGTACTTGATACAGTAATAAATTTTTAAATTTATATTCTATCTACTATAGAAGAGACTCTGATTCAAGGTAAATATGTGATGATAGCTAGAAACTGATGCAAGTAGCAGGAATGGCGAGTAAGGAGAGAAAGAAGAAATAATAGCGTGAGTTTCCCTGGGTAAAGGAAGCTACAAAGATTAAAGGCAAAGCTGACGTTGTTTTTCTGCGAATCTAGGAAAAGTGGAAAATATCATAGACTGCACTGTCCTCAAGAAATTAAAAATAGAACTACCATATGATCCAGCAATTCCACTTCTGGGTATTTATCCGAATGAATTAAGGACACTAACTGGAAAAGAAACCTGCGCCCCTGTGTTCATTGCAGCATTATTTACAACGAGCCAAAGACTTTCTCTTAATCAAAAGCCTGGTAAACCAGATACTTCACTGTAGGTGGGTCTGTCAGACGGTTTGAAAGCCATGAATATATTCTTGTCGAAAAGATCTACCTCCCAACACGTCCAGCCAAGATGTGAACATGTGTGCACGTTAAACACATAGCTCGTGGGTTATTGTGAATGTTTGATGAGATAACTTCAAGTACATGTACGAATGCCTGGAATTTAATGAATGTTCCAAGATTTTAAACTGAATCAGCTGAGAACCAGAGGTAGCACATTTCATAACAAGGTACTAATTTGTTAAATAGATGAGAAGAGCTAGAAATCTCCGAGGTCCCTCACCCATACTGAGGGTATAAAATAGTTGAGAATGGAGATTGTTAGAGGACCATGAAGAAGATTTCTCGGAAGAACCCTGTTGTAAGCTTCAGGGGCTGTGATGGGAGATCTCTCTGCGTCACTCCAGCTGGAGTGAGAGCCCTCGACAGGAGCACCTGGAGGGCTTCCCGCAGGCGGAAGCCTCACCACACCACTGTCCGACTGCCCCTGAAAAACCTACAGGTAAGAGGCAGGCCGCTTGACTGCTGACAAACAAACTATGTATGTGGCTCAAAGTTTGCGGAGCAAAAATGTGGAGTGTTACCCCATGAAGACTTTGCTACACAGCCAGGTGCAGACTCATGCATATAGGAGAGCCCCAGTGGATGGAACCCAAGAGGACTGCACTGGGGATGGTGTAAAATAATATACGGAAAAACAGATATAAGAAGTGTAATTTTTCAGTCAAAACTTGATCCAACAACCACAAAACAAAACAAAAATTTTACTCAAATTAACTTCCCTTTTTTCCTTTTAATATTATTAGTAATGACTGAAAAAAAAATAGGGGATGGCTCTGGATTTAAATTGTCTTTCCTGAAAGGAAAAATTCCACGTCCACGGTGACATTGGTACTGTTGACCTAAGTAAAACGTCAGAATCAAAAGAGAAATAGTACTTTTAAGGGCCACGCCTTATTTTTAACTTGGAAATGTGTTTTTATATCAAAATTTTATCATAAAACCAAAACAAAACACAAAGTGGGGAAATGGAGGCCTATTTACTGAGGCAAATTGCTCAGGAGTTTAAGCCCCTCTGATGAAAACTGTTTCCCAGGAGGCAGCTGGTCATCACTGGCCCGGCAGAGGGGAGGAGTGCTGATGTGTTGGGAGGTAGATCTTTTCGACAAGAATATATTCATGGCTTTCGATCCGTCTAACAGACCTACCTACAGTGAAGTATCTGGTTTACCAGGCTTTTAAGAGAAAGTCTTTGACATTCTTCCTGTTTAAAAACAAACAACACTTTCAGGTAGTTTGTACTGCACCAAGTGAGTGAACAGAACCCTAATTTAAATGAAGTGGGGAGGGCAGAAGGGGGAGCTCTGAGCTCTAGTCCATCTCAAAGAGGAGACAAGGGGCTTGTCTGTGACATTCCTCCCAGTGCCCTCCTCCCTAAACAAAACAGCTTCCTCTCCCGTTTCAGCAGCCTGGCTCCTGGCCCCCGTGGTTTCGTGGCCCCGACTGCAATTCTTAGTTGTTCCTGAGTAAACCCACTTGCTAGAGAGATCCTCGGCTGACTTTTTTCTTAGGTCAACAGTACCAATGTCACCGTGGACGTGGAATTTTCCTTTCAGGAAAGACAATTTAAATCCAGAGCCATCCCCCCCCCCTTTTTTTTTAATCATGTGTGGTTGAATGAGATATAATTAATAACAGAGGTAATTCATTTTTTACTATAAAAAGCAATTCTTTCTCATTATAAGAATAGCACACTTGTCTTAATGGTAGGATGAGAATTTCAGATATCAATAAAATTAAAGTAGCTGGAATGCATAATTTTAACTTAATGACTTAAGGTATCAGTTCTGCACCTGGACAGAAATATATTACCTTCATAAAAATAATAACCTGGTAAACTGCATCCCCAGTGGCACTGATTGAAAATAAAGTATATTTATATTTGCTTAAATTTAATAATAATTCTGTCCTCATTTTTTATTTAGATGCTCCAGGTAATGTCTGAGAAATATGTACAAAGATCACAAAACCAGTAATTTCCTATCGTCTAGAAGTTTACGACTAAGTGAACAAAGAAAGCATTCTTCCTGGCGTTTCAAATATTGAAAACTAATTACTGCACGCCTCTGCTGTGACTGCTGAGATAGCTGTGTGTACGATCCTCCAGGGAAAGCAATGGACTTCTCTCCGGTCCTTTATGCTTCTTGGATTCTGCTCTAACCATCCCCAGGTATAGGTGTAGTGAACGCATTGCTCCCATTAGGTATTTACTAATGACTGTGGATAAACTGGAGTGTTTAAACGATATTGGCTCTTTAATATGATTTGCATGGGAGCAAATAGAGAGGATAGCCTGTATGCTTGAGAAAAGATATGCACTTTGTTCTTTCAGGAATACATTTTACAATTCTAAAAAAAAAAAATCACTCTACCTAACAACCTTCGAAAGATTAGGGAGAGCAGGTGCCGGAATTCACGTGTGACAGGATTCTGTTGGAACATACGGGTTTCATTTCATTTTTGTTTATGTTTAACAGACCACTTCAAATGTAAAGGATGATTCCTGCCCTGGGCGGGGGGCTCGGTTGGTTGGAGCGTCGTCCGCACACCAAAAGGCTGCAGGTTCGATTCCCGGTCAGGGCACATACCCAGGTTGCAGGTTCGACCCCAGGTCGGGGCACATACGGGAGGTAACTGATGGGTGTTTCTCTCTCTCCCTTTCTCTCTCTAAAAGATCAATAAAAACATATCCTTGGTGAAGATTAAAAGGACTCCTAACGCCAATGCAACAGAGCAGCTAAAAACAACACCGTCTGCGTAGCAAGATGGCAGAGCCCGGGTGTGCTCGTGTCTCTAATTTAACATTGTCACTCGTCTTCAACTCGGCATCTTTTAAGGCACATTTTGCTTTCCCTCGCGTCCTGCCCTACACTGTCTCACAGAGATGGATTCACATTCCAGATGATAAAAAAGCGGAGTAAGTGGAAACAGAGTCAAGTCATATGAAGATGCCCATAGAAAGATCATCTTTGTTCCTGTGTGAAAACGAGCCAACCAGCAAAAATTAACTATTAAAATTTTCAGGAAAACTATTTAGCTTTTGACATATTTTTTTCACTTTTTTGGAATAAACTATAAAGTAATTAGAAGGTAGAAACGAGGAGCCGGCGAGAGTCCTCAAGCCTGTTTCCGCCGGCGGCGCTGAACGAATCCCCGAAGTGAGTCAGTAGCCCTACGACGTGGGTCCCAGAACAGAGTGTAGCAGGCACTTTAAAATATGAGCAGCAGAATCGCAAGTCAAGCCTACACCACCCCATCTACTTGAATTTCGCGTTTCCAGATGGCAGAGGAGCCTCGACGACACGCCTGGGAGACGCGCTCTCGCGTGTGAAATGTTAATTTACATAAAAGAGTCGGCCGAGTGTTTGCCTTGCACCGGTTAACATAATTAGTCCAGGAAGAGAGGAAGCTGGCCCGTATCGGGCGAGAACGTTGTCGTCTTAATTGGCAGTTGGTAATTATTTTTAAGTGATATTTACTTTGAGGAGGGAGTTGTCTCTGAATGCCACAGAAGGAGAGAAAATTCATCAGCGCTATTTCAAATGTATAACTTCGAGAATGAATACGTGGACTTGAAGCTGCGCCAACGCCGAGCTAAGCAGCTCGAGGGAACGCACTTTCTGAGAGACATGCGAAAAAATACCCGAAATGCAGGATAAGGGGATTCGGTCAGATCATACCTGGGGGTAAGCAGAGGCATCTTTCTAACTGAGTTTATTTAAAGCAAATGTCTCACCCGTGTTCATGCCGATCAGTCTCTCGTTTTTTATTTAGCCCTTAATCAGTGTCTGACGCTTCAGTTTTATGGGACATAAAATTATACTTTCCTTTATTACCCTATTACGTTCTGACGTATTAACCCCAATTCATTTATCCTTTATAGTTAATTGCATATTTGAGTAGTTATGATGTTTGAGGGTCAGAGACAGGTAACTGCACGACCTTATTTAAAGTGTTACTCGAGCTCTGAAAACTCAGACGAGGCTCAAACCCAGCCACTGGCCTCCGGAAACGCGTGATCTGGACGCGGGGTGGAGAGTGGGACGCACTTGACCGGAGCCGGGAACAGAAGCGATAGTGTGAGAGATTAAAAAAAAACCAAAGATATTCTAGAAAAGGAGGGAGAACTGCTATTGATGGGAACTTGGAAATCAGTAATTTCACATCGGTCTTTGAAAATATTTCTCCTCTATCCTAAAGGAGCTCGACCACATCGGGCAGAGCCCAGAGCGTGACGTCTGGGCCGCGGTGTCTCCGTAACGAGCACACCCGCCTCTCCTTGCTCGGACACCCCGATTTGCCTGAGAAATAGGCCCACTCTCGTCAAAAACAGATAGAGCGGCGCAGGGCCGCCTGTATTTACCGCGCAGGTCCTTGTCCTCGATGACAGCCAGGACCACCTCTTCCCCGGCGATGACCGTGCAGGTGAAGGGGGCCTGCAGGAGGGCACTGATCTCCCCGAAGGACTCCTGCTTCTGGAGCTGACCCATGTAGACCAGTTTGCGGATTTTCTTCTGTAAGAGTACAGACGAGGGATGTTCAGCGAAACCACGTTCATACCACGGAAAAATGCTGTTTCTATCGGAAACGCCGTTAGCAAATCAGTTCGGCGTATGGTACATATGTAAAATAAATTTGCGATTTCATGCCGACTGGGGAAAACGCTTCCTTACACGTGCGTTTGAACTGCATTGTATTCTATTGACAGACACCTTCAGCTCACCTGCGGCGACTAAAAGCTCTGTTGTTCAGTGACGTTGGCTAAGCAGATTTAAATTAAGACTTTAATCTGCTGAGAGGCTTGGGAAATACGGGACTCATTCCGTTTTCCAAAGTCCTGGGACCATTTTGTGAGCACAGCTCAGCTCAGCACGTTATCGCTGGAACGGGGGCGAGCTGGGGGGCGGTAAGATTATAAAGAGAATGAAAGAAACAATAAAATAGAGGGTAGCCCCGAGGACAGGAGGGTGACGGGAAGCCAGAGGGGTCAAAGCCAGTATCTACCTTGAGGGCCTGTCCCCCTTACAACCAGCGCGTCTCCGCCCCGCCTGCCACGGGGGCAGCAGCGTTCAGCTAGGTCCACAGACGGACCCGGACGCACTGAGAGGCCTGACGGGGGGGCGGCCACGCCCCAGCTTCTCCATCACCGCGCGGGCCTGTGCTGCTCCGTCCGGAGCTTCCCACAACTGGAATCTCACGGAGCTCACGCCCTCGGGCCTGACGCTTTCGCCCGACCCACCGCGTGCCCTGGACGCACCACCGGCTCTCCTCACCGCGGCGTGGCCTTCCACGCGGGAACACGCCCCGTTCCTGTCCGCTCAGCGGTCAGCGGCCGCGTGGGTTACTCAGAGTTTCTGGCTAACGGGGGATCGTGCGGGCCTTTCCCTAGGCGTGCAGCCTCCTTGAGCAGCGAGGTGAGGCTGCTGGGCCGTGTGTTAGGCGTGTTCCAGCCGACGTGCTGAGCTTACAGTGGCACTTGGGGCGGTTTCAATGAGCATCTCTGATGATAGGACACTGAGCGTCTTTCTCCGTGCTCACTGCTCGTTCAGCACATTGGTGATTATTGGTCCACTGGTCACGACTCACGACTCAGTGGATCTGACAATGGCTCTTACGTTCCAGCATCTTACAGCCCAGTGAGGAGGGGGCAGGAAACCCAGCCACACACAGGCAAGAGCACCGAACAGGAATTTCACGAAAGACGAAGGTGTCCAGCAAGCACGTGAAGGATGCTCGACACCCTTCGTTCACGAGATGGATTCGCCCATTAAAGAGAATACGGGCGTTTAAAACTTACCACTTTTTTTGGCGATATTTTCATGAATCCTACGATATTTCTGTAAACGTTACAATGTCCAGAATGAATATAAGCCACGAAAGGGATTATATTTCCGCTTTCCACGATCACTGAAAACAAGAGAGAGGCTTGTTATTTCACACATTTTCCTCTGCAAAAAAAATTATTTCAGATGTTATGACAATAAATCGACATTTAATCCGCAACTGTAAGTGGTAAATTTCTTAATGGAGGCCGGGTTGGAGGCAGGGCCCAGCATGGGACAGAAACCGTCCGGTGTCCATTTAGAAGCACACGTTGACGAGACCGCGAGGTAGAGACCACGGCCTGCGGCGGGTGCACCGCTGGAGGAGGGGAAGAGGCGCGTGGGGCGACCCGTGTGTGGCATTCGCTGACCTTCGCGGTGTAAATATCCCCCCGTGGCCAGTTTCAACCTGCCAATGGTTTGACGACTGGCTGGCAAAACCCCCGAGTATGTAGCAGTCCCGGGCCTGACCCGGAGCCCGTCCGGCCCTCTCCTCGCCCCAGCGGGGTCTGAAGCAAGGTCTCTGAGGCCACGCTGGGCGGGTGTCCAACCCCACTGCCACTTCGGACGTGACCCCAGATGAATTATGTCAATTCCAAGCTCAGGTTTTTCACCTTGAAAATGTCAAAACTAGGGAGGAGTCCCGGCCTGTACTCAACGTGAGGTAATTAACTGCATGTAAAGTGCTGAGCATGACGCCCGGCGCCTAGTTTCACGGAACACATCATGCAGCTAATATCATTATTTTTTGCTCAAATTTGTGAAGCCCACCCTAAGACCACGCTACACTTGGTGGCGAACTGGATAAAACCTTTATAACTATCCAGGTGCCTATTAACAAGCAACTGGAATAAAAACCTCCTGGTCTACACAACATTTTAAATTATCAACATAATTTAATTTAAATAATAAAATCAATTAGGCATATAGAAATTAAAATTGCTATTTCAAATCGGCTTTTTATTTTGTTCATTTGGAAGCATATCGATATTTTTCCTGAAAACCCTAAACATAACAGAGATAACATAAATACAGACACTATGTATTGCTCCCATGATTTTTTAAAGTAGAAAATTAAAAAATAAAATTTTCAATTATTGAAAAGTATTTATTTCACATTATATGAGTTTATAGCAACATGAGAGAAATTACTGATGTTATTAAAATAATAAGCTGGTCTTCCTAACAGTCACTGCAAAGGTCTGTCTTAATGAGGACAATGCCGGGGAACTCTGGGTTTAAAGACGTTACCAAAAACATGCACCTCCTCCCGTAAGCCAGGGGTTGGTCACCGAGGAATTCGGGGACAATACCAGAGGCCGGCCAGACGTCCAGTCACATGGGAAATGCGCAACGACCGTCTCCCAGAACTGCTTCTGATTCGCCGCTAACGCCCTGGCCCTGGGATGAGTCTGGACAGGTCCGCCCACAGGACGGTGGGTTAGGCAGGCAGGGAGGTGGGCACATCCCGCCGGAGGAGCCTGGTTAGGATGGGCTCGCGGAATCGGGATTGTTTCCCGTTGAAACGGCAAAATGACCTTATCTCAGGTTCTTCAGAGAACCAAGGGGGTCGTCTCGCTCCATCTGCAGGAGACGGTGCTTCGTAAACAGCACAAGGTTCACAGAGGAAGATTATTTCGTCCCTGTGCGGAAAAAGAAAACTTCCCAAGTCTTCCCCCGACGATGGTATATTTTCATCACGGATTCTAGCTGATCAGGGCGACTGTCCACTGGACAGCGATGCTCTGATGAGTCCCTTCCTCCCGGCCCCACCTGGCCACCCGCCGTCATTTCCGCTCGGTTAGTGAAGCGTCCTCCTTTCTCCCGAGACAATCATCGCGCCCGAACGGCCCGGCCCAAAGCAGCACCTGGATGGGACGCTGCGTCTGTGCCGAGTCCCCATGACAGTTAAACGCATTATTTGAGATCGTGACTTTCCTCATCAGTGTCACAGTAATTACTTTTGATTCAAGAGATATTCCACTTGGTATATTTTGACGTGATCTGGACCAGTGCAGGTAAACGTCTGCGCAAGGAGCTGTGACACGCCCTTCAGGACCCTGGTTCCCGACGCGCTAATCAGTGCCAGTCCTCGGGTGAGGTCCACGCGGGTCGCCCCTCAAGGCGCCCACTGCGGCGGCCGCCAGCCTCGTGCGCAGCGTTCCGAGGGAGGTGTGGGAAACGCGACTTTACTATTTCCGCGTGTTTCAGAACAACTTCAAGAGGAGATGGCAAATCCCATTTCCACTTTCGAATGAGGAATATGAGTGCTTTGCTCAGTAGATTTTCCGACTCTTTCATACTAATCCTCTTGTACGACGTTATTTGTTGATTTTCCTGATACTATTGTTTTCCTCTTAATCTCATTACTTTACAAATGGAAACTCAAAATAAATTTCATACCCATATTTCCTTCCCATTGTCACTTCTATTTTTAACTTAACAACTAATCCATTTAAAATAATGTGAGCCACATGTCAGCTTAAATATCTAACTTAACCTATTCTCCCATGTGTGTGGATTATTTCTCAACACATTTATTTTTAAAAAAACCCACAATCCTTTCCCTCACTGACGAATGGCCTTCCTCTATTGTACACTATGCACCATTCTCCTGCACATAGTGTCTTATATAAGCTAACATCCTAATAAAAACCTAACCAAGAGAATGAAAAAGTCCTTAGAGCTTTTATAACAAATAAATTTACAGCACACATGTCAAGAATAATAGAATATATTTGTGCACATTGAAGAAACACCTCTAATTCTAAGAAATTTTCCTAAGAGAACAATCGGGTAAATAGTTAAGGATTTACGTAGCAAGTATTCAAAACTGAGCATGTAAATGCATTTAAATGGTCATCAATAGGGAAATGTTTAAATAAATTATGATAATTCAAAGGTAAAAAAGTAGGCATTTGTCTCAAAAATGTACAGATTTTTTAAAAATAAAAATAGACTTTAAAAAATTATATAACTAACTTATCTTTTTCATATATTTCTTCTTTTTTTTTAATATATCTTTATTGATTTCAGAGAGAGGAAGGGAGAGGGAGAGAGAGAAACATCAATGATGAGAGAGTCATTGATCGAGCCCACAACCCAGGCATGTGCCCTGACCGGGAATCGAACCCTGATCGCCTGGATCCTAGGTCGATGCTCAACCGCTGAGCCACGCCCGGCTGGGCATATATTTCTATTTTTTGACAAGCAATTTTAAAAAGCTGCGGAGAACCAGTTTCATGTAGCAAAGAGAACATAAGAACGGAGTATGAGATATCAGATCTTTGATAAACAAAAACATCACCTTCCTGCCAGCAGCTGTGGCCCATTGGTTGCACGCTGTCCCAGGCCCCAGGAGGTCACGGGTTCGATTCCCGGTCGGGGCCCAGGCCCAGACTGTGGGCTCCATCCCCTCTCCCTTCCTCCCTCTGAAATCAGTAAAAGCATGTTTTAAAAAAATCACTTTCCCCTCAAAACCCCCCAGGTTACAGGGACAGTGACTGAGTGAGGTGGTTTTCAGGTGACAATCTGTGGTTCACACGCACTGAACACTATTGCTAGCTCCTTCGTGACTGAAAGATTTGCTCAGTAACGGACATTATATTCCCTCTCTTTAAAACTGTGTCTTAAATACTTGACCAGTCGCATGACCAAGGGGCCGAAGTACTTCCTGAGAATAACAGCTTAAGCACATAACATTCTTCTGTGTAATTTTAACTAGTGTTCACCCCAATAAATTCAATAAAAAAATTAAAAATTAATTGCTGTGTGTAAAATGCCTAAATAATTACTATCCCATTATTCAGACACAAGTCATTTATTCTTGAATAGTAATTTAAATTTGATTTATAGTTTTACATTCTGTAGCAAATGCTACCTCCAGGTAAGTTCCTGCAATATTTTCTACAATAACATTTGTCACATTAGCATGGTCTGCGTGAGAGGCAGCCAACCAAGCTCTCAAGTTCGGGCCGTCGGAACTGGAGTTTAGTCCGTGGCGTTTCCACAGAAAGCCCAGCCAACCATTATGGGGAAAGAACTGACCTAATGTTAAAATAAACACCAGAAAATGGCACTGCCTTTGAAAACATGGTCAATAACCAAATGATGAAAGTAATTCGGAAATTCAAAGTATGGCTATTTGAGAAATGCAAGCAAAGCCTCTCTGGCATTTAAGCCTAAATTTATGAGCACCCACATTTTTCTCAGAGCAAATATTAATCTCATAGCTGTAACTATCTCCTCAAAGCCCTGTAAGATTTAGGAATCTAAAGGGACTCGAAGAAAAATGCAGGTCTTTGACATGGCTGCCCTCTACTGACCCAACATTTGTCTTGTTTCAGCAAAGGACCTGCATGGAGTATTGTTATCTGAAACTTCCAAGTCTTCTAAAAGGCAAGGTTTAATAAAAACATGCAAATAACGCTACTTTTATTAAAGTATGAAAATCAACACACCGATTTATGAATAATTAATTACTCATGTGGCTGTCATTTGCATGTAGAAATGCAAAAAATTATAATAAGAATTTTATTGTCAGAGGTAGCTTGCCCCGAGCCAGGTCCTGCTTTCCTCTCTTTATCAACGGTGCGAATACCCACCCTGTGTCACAGGAACTAAGATCTGCTCCTGTTCTCATGAACTCATAGTTCGGGAAACTTTGAATAAGTATTTGTTTGGGATCCAAAATGTACACCCCGCTGCCGCTGACGTAAACTCAGTAGTGCCTGTGTTTAAAGACATGAAACAGGCCGTGTGGCTACCGTCCTAAGACAGCCCCGGTCACGAGAAATGGTCAGAACAAAAGCAGTGCACCTGGGGCAACGCAGCGGCCTACGAAAAACGATGATAGCAAAGCTCTGAGGCACTGCTCCCAGGCGACAAAGTCAAGAAAGAGGCCCGCCGTTAAAACATGGGGAAATCTTCCAGGTATCGCTCGGTCCGGGAGAGAATAGATATAGATTATAGATAGATGCCGACTTACAAATAGGTATAGAGACAGAGACAGGGGGAGAGGGAGGGAGAGAGGTAGACACAGATGCAGAGAGAGACAGATACGCAAATAGCTGATATGTACATATATAGATAGAGTTTTGGGCTTTGTTGAAACGATGGAAACCTACAAAACTCATCTTATAAAAATTGAGCGTCGTAAGTGAAGCTGCGACAAACGCTCACGTGCAGGTTTCCGCGGGCACGCGAGTCCTCAGCTCCGCTGTGTGAGCGTCAGGGACGGGCGCTGCTGGGCTCTGCAAGAAAGTGCTTAGTTTCAGGAAAAACCACGGAGCGGTCGGTCTCCCACCAGCAGGGAAGGGGGGTCGCTCCCCATCCTCGCCAGCGCCCGGTGCCGGCCCTGTTCCGGGTTTGGTCGCCCGGGTAGAAGTGTAACAACGCCCCGCGGGGCACAGGGCGCTGACGGTGGGGCTGCTGTGCAAGA